GACCATATGTATCCGGAAACAACTAAGATATTTAAATTCAGTTAGAGAATAATGAGTCCTAGTCTGTCTCCTTGGCACCGAGAGCCGAAAGCCACCGGAAGGCTGAGTTCGCAGTCACGTCCGGGTGCGCACGGCGCCCAGGACACACCCCACACGCGACACGCGGCGGCACACGGCACTGGACGCATGGCAGCAAGCGCCCGGAAAGAATTTGTAAAACAGAGAGAAAGGGAAAGAAAGCTGACCTTTCCACCCGGCCGGAGCTCTGACGTCTGCGCAGGAGCCTCGTGACTCGCGTCCTTCGGGCTCTGGCGTGATCCAGGAGCCGACTGCCGGTCGGGCTGCCTGAGGGGGTTGCCGGGTTGCCGGAACAAGTGCTACAGGCGGAGAGGCTCACGCCGCCGAGACGTGCTCTCGCCGCTTGGCTCGGCCTCGGAGGCGCGGCCAGCGTGGCCCGGCCCTGTGGCACGAAAGCCCACCCTCCTGGCCACATCTCCGCTCGGGCCACGCTCTTCGCCATCACCCTGCTCCCACATAAGTTCACACCCGAGGTAGGGAGCTAGGAGTCACACGTACGTGTGCTGCAGGCCCAGCACCCTAGGACCACACTCAAAAGAATAAAAAAAAGGTGCCCACCCAGAGACTGACATGCACGTGTTCCCTGCAGCGTAAGTCATGGTAGCGGAACTAAGCAAACTACTCAAATGCCCACCAGTGGGTAAATGGGCGAGCAGAGGTGCTACAGCCCCGCGGGGGGAATATTACTGAGTCTTGAAAAAGGTTCCGGCAGCTGCCACAGAGTGACGGGCCTTGGGGGCCCCGCGAAGTTCAGGGAGCCAAACACGCATGGTGCCACGCTGCGCCACTCCGCTTAGGAGAACTGCCCACACAGACACCCCGCTGGGACAGAAGCTAGTTTGGTGGCTGCCAGAGGAGGGAACCAGAGGGGTTCAGGGCTGCATTTTAGGGTGGTGGAAATACTCTGGAACCAGATGGGCGTGACGGTTGCGAGACACCGTGACTCCACGAAAAACCACTCATCTGGACGATGAACTTTGTTACTGGAACGTGTTTTGCCTCAATTGAAAATAACGGGCTCCAGAGGAAGGAACTGGACTGGCGGGGGCGGCGGTGGGAGGGAGGTGACCCCGTGCCCTGCCGCGGGGATCCGTGAGCCACGGAGCAGCCAGACGCGGCGCCCGGGCCTGCTCGCCCCGGTGGCC